ATATTACAGTCGCCGAGACACATTTATACAATCCTCACAAATCTAACACAGCTACGCATCTACAACATGAACACAAGTACACACTCTCCGCTCCCGGCACTATCGAGGTATCTGCTCACCCTCGTAGCACTCGAGCGTTCCTTACTACTCGTGCAAGGTTCGAGCTGGTACATATACTCTCACTTAGTGCACTGTCCTTCACACTGTCACAGCACCTCTTATCTCGAGGTATACCTCACTGTGCACTCTCAGTCCTCACACATACCGCGACCTACCTCAGAGTTATGAGCAGCGTACTTACTCAAACTGCGCGCACTGCGTCTTCAACCCTCGCGATAAAACATCAGAGTTGCAACACGTATAAACACTCCACTGATGACACTGCATCACCAACTTGCTACCACTATTTTGCGAGGCGCTACGAATCATCACGAGCACGCGCACATCTGCGAGATTCTCAACACTGAAGTCTACCAGATAGCTTGAAGTGTACTACTCACTAGTCGACACTCTAGATCTCACACCCGCCCTCCCACTGCGATACAAAGCGATTTTCTGCTACGGTCTACGTCATCTGTGCACACGGAGCGTCTTCTATCAATGTCACGCTCTTGATCGAAGTTTAACACAACCAAACCCCATCTCCCCACATGCCGTTTACCACATCTTCCGGCTCAGACCTTACAACCCTCGCGATGCGCTAACAGCGATCTTCCTCTGCGCATGGACATTAACTCGCCTCACAAAAGCCTCGTAGCACTGTCTCACTACTGTACAGTTCTAGAGATCGAGTATCTAGGCTAATAAAATTGGTGCACAACCACACACCCATCTATCTAAAAGTAATAACTTTTGAGAATAACGTGACAAACCCGTCAATAAGTACACGTCTTACTATTATATCTTTAAGGACTGAATCCCAACTCCACACTACGCAATCTTCTACTCCTAGTACACACAACTTATCGCACATATATCAAAATAACTCTCAATAATTTACTGCGTGTATTTTAACTTGACAGTAACAAGAATAACTACCCCTGTGCGATGATGACACATCTCTATTCTCGCGAGCGTGGTCTAGCGTTTAGATATTAGGTTCTTCTCACATCCAGGTCGAAGCTACCTCTCAAGGAAACACATCTGCGAACCATAACTTTCATAGCTGCTAGAGACTGCTTACCGATGCCTTACATGTTTATCCACTCTATTTTGGAGTCTAGATAATCGCCTAGTCGATGTTATAAGTTGTAGTATTACATCTCTGTTCGATAAAAAAATGAAATGTGTGTTAATTAAGCTTAATAAATATTAGGTTATCACTTCCGAGATGGCCAGGCCTACTCTCATGCTGTCATATTGATGATTAACTCTGAAAAATAGGGACAAACTGGAAAGATCCCAGAACCTCGAGATTTCGCGTCTCTGCTCTACCAAATGAGGCTACTGACCCTGATTCTCAAGCGAAATCACCACTCATATACAGCACAATTTCATGCTTTGTGTGGAATACATTTTATCATTATTTAGAATATATATTCCATTTTAATCCACACGATATATACATTACCGAACAACGAGATTATCGTTATCAGTGCAGTGTGTACAACACCAACTACACCGATCAATTGGCCAATCTGCCGAAACATTTAATTATTATATCACTTCGAGATGGCCAGGTCCTACCAACGGCCTTGGCCATCTCGAAGGATAAAATAATAATTAAATGTTTCGCAGATTTGGCACTTGATCGGTGTAGTTGGTGTTGTAACACACTGCACTGATAACGAATCACGGTTGTAACGTGGAATGGAAATATAGTGTGGATTAAAATGTCTAATATATATTCTAAATAACTAATATTAGGTAATAAAGATAATAATTATAAGAAGCTTTCATAATATAACCTGTTTTGAATATTTATCTAATAAACTCCCTGGTTTAAGAGTTTCAGATTTATAAAAGGAATTTTGGTTTTGTACTAACTTTTTTACAATTTTTTAGGGCTTATGTCACTGAAGATACCCTTGCACCATGTTTGACGATAGCCTGTAGATTGATAGTTTTGGGATCGGCAATTTCCATAACTAATTTTTTGGATCAGCGTCATATAACCGCTTTTTTATACGCTAAAAAAGCGCTTAATCTGATAAAACCCCCGTTAATTTGCGATATAAAAGCGATTTTGAACGTCCCCGGGTTAATAAACCGTTAAAAACAGATTATAATCGCTTTTTTCCATAAAATATTTTTGCAAAAGCGATTATTAGCGCGTTAAAAGCGAATAATAAATCGCGACAATTAAAATTATAATGATAAAAAAACGCTTTTATTTTTAGGGGTTTCGATTATTATACGCTCCGTAAGCGCTTTTCAAAAAAAACGCTTAAAACCGTTTTTTGGAACCCGTTTTTTAAAACGCTTTTAAACGACTATAAGCGAATCTATTCACTAGGGAAAGTATCCAAATTAAAAAGCGCCTACTAACGTTAAAAAAAACCGCTTTTTATTTTAAGTTAATAATCGGTTATAAAAAAATCGATTATAAAACGATTATAAGCGACAATAAGCGATTTTTGAAATCTGCTAAAAAGCGATATTTCACCTATGATCACGCCGCTTATTAAACGCGCTATTTTCTTTGAATTTTCTACTGAAACGTTTATAACGCTTTAATTATTTGCTGTCTATAAGCGATTATAAACGATTATAAGCGCTATTTTTACGTATCTTGAAACGAACAGGAAAAAAATTGTCAGTGTCTACGAGATATTATAAGCGATATAAGTTGATTAATAAAGTATCGTAAATGTTATGTGTCTTCAATTGTCGCGTATAGACGATTAGTAACAACGATGAAAAGCGCATTTTCACTCATCTCCAGCGCACACACTACACACAAACTATCTCTACTTTCTCGCGGCACATCTCTCCTCGCCCCATCAAAATCATCTCTCTATATTTGGCGGGTCAATATAAGCGACTTCATCTGCGTAAGCGGGGTATATAAGCGATTATAAACGATTATGAGCTCTAACAATTGTTCTTTTACACGTATTGGGGCCGCAACACGCGCGAGGACCACAATTACAAAACAAACGTCTCTACGCGAGTCACTCATTATCAAAATAGTCCCCAGTTTTTCGCGCGACATTTAGGTAAATAAAACCGGCAAATTTTCAGATAATCAAGAAACTTTCACAGACCTTCCAAAAGGTAGAATAAACGATTTCAGAGTTGGAGACATTGTTTTTACCAATGGGGAAAACCCAGGGAGGGCCCACGCCCATATTGATCCAATAATAGTTATTACTGACACTTTGCTTCTGAATAGTCCGGAGAGACTTCAAAATAGGCTTAAACGTAACAGCCGCATATATGCAGTTTATAGAGATCAGTATATTGATGAACCCACAGGGCCATAAAATCCTTAACTTTCGAGAAATTCCGCCAAAAACCATTTTGGGGCGTGGCGCTGAGCCATTTTACTAAATTTGATATGAACGGGCCCGCAAAAGGAACCGCAATTGGCATATTATATAAGACTTAGTGAAAAACATGTGCTAAAGTGCTTACGTTTTCAGTTTATTGGCGAAAAACTGATTTTCTTCGGTCAGAAATCATGCAAAAAATGGGTATCTGGTAAAGGGGCTATGAAGGCCCTCAGATTTTTGAATGGGTGCCAATTTCGTGCAAAAAGGCCATGTTGTGTGAAACAACTTAGTGAAGCAATATGTACCCTAAAATGCACACTTTTCGAGTTATAACATAAACGGGAGCAAAAATGGCTGCATATAACACAATTTGCTCTATTCATAAAATAATTCTCTGGTTTTCCCCCCCAATTAACTCGAAAACTGAGGCATTTTAGGGTACATATTGCTTCAATAAAGTTTGTATATAAACATGGCCATATCTGCACAATTTGCACCTATTCTAAAAAACTCTATGGCCTTCATAGCTCAATTTACCAATACCCATATTTTTGCATGATTTCTGGAACCGAAAATCAGTTTCGCCAATAACTGAAAAAGTAAGCACATAAGGCACATGTTTCTTCATAGTTTTATATCTAAATATCCAATTGCGTTCTTTTGCATTTTCCGAGATTCTATCACGATTAAATCAAAATTAGCAATTGGCTCAGCTCCTCCCAAACGGTTTTGGCGAATTTCTCGAAAATTAAGGATTTTAGGCCATGTGTTGGAATCAATAACTTCGATATAAACATGCATATATGCGGCTTCGTTTAAGCCTATATAGAAGTCTCTACGACGCTTCTTCAGAAGCAAATGGGTCGGTATTACGTTATTGGTCAATATGGCGTGGCCCTCCAGTGGTTTTCGCCCATGGTAAAAAAATGTCTCCAACCGAAAATCGTTTATTCATACCTTTGGGAAGGTTGTGCAAAAGTTTCTTGAGTATCGAAAAATTTGCAGGTTCATATTCCATAAATGACTGGACTATAAGCGATTATAACTATAAGGTATTATCAATGACATAGCTAGCTCCGGCGCGCTCATACTAAATCGCTCGCCCAAATTTTAAGAAAATTCTTGTGAAAAGCCCTTTGGGTATGAATTGGCTCTGAATCGATGTATTTTTGACGCTAATTCCGAATCGCCCCCCATGACGTAGGGTAAAGAAAGCTGTCCCTGGAAGTTAAAAGCAAAAAAAAAAAAAAACCGTTTTGGTCACGTGACAGGCTAGTAAAACATGAATTCTAGGAAAGCTTGGGATTTGTTTTTGCAACAATCTTCCAATATTCTCGCCGCAAATTGGAAATAAAAATATATCTTTGCGTCATGACGATAATTTGCGTTTGATTTTTAATAATTTGCGACTTTTGATAAATTACAACCGCTCACTTAATCTTGAGTTAATTACATTGTTTCACATATGTTAATGGAAATATAAGGTTACACTGTACTCTTGACATATATTTAGCGATCTATCTTAACCTTGTTGCCAGAGAACTGAAAGTATCTGCACCCACACCAATGGTACTCAACGATGATAAGATGTTGGTAAGTAAGGGCGAAGGAGAAGGAGAAGGAGACGGAGAAGGAGAAGGAGAAAGAGAAGGAGAAGAGAAGGAGAAGGAGAAGGATAAGGAGAAAGAGAGAGAAGGAGAAGGAAGAAGAGAAGGAGAAGGAGAAGAGAAGGAGGAGGGAAGGTGAAAGGAGAAGGAGAAAGGAAAGGAGAAGGAGAAGGAGAAGAAAGGTGAAGGAGAAGGAGAAGGTGAGGAGAAGGAAAGGAGAATGAGAAGGAAAGGAGAAGATAAGGAGAAGGAGAAGGAGAAGAGAAGGAGAAGGAGAAGGAGAAGGAGAAGGTGAAGGAGAAGGAGAAGGAGAAGGAGAAGAGAAGGAGAAGGAGAAGGAGAAGAGAATGAGAAGAGAAGGAGATGGAGAAGGAGAAGGAGAAGGAAGAAGGAGAAGGATAAGGAGAAGGAGAAGGACAGGAGAAGGAGAGGAGAAGAGAAGGAGAAGGAGAGGAGAAGGAGAGGAATGAGAAGAGAAGGAGAAAGAGAAGGAGAAGGAGAAGGAGAAGGAGAGAGAAGGAGAAGGAGAGGAGAAGGAGAAGGAGAAGGAGAAGAGAAGGAGAAGGAGAAGAGAAAGGAGAAGAGAAGGAGAAGAGAAGGAGAATGGAGAAGGAGAAGGAAAGAGAAGGAGAAAAGGAGAAGGAGAAGGAGAAGGAGAAAGAGAAGGAGAAGGAGAAGGAGAAAGAAGAAGGAGAGGAAAGGAGAAGGAGAAGGAAGGAGAAAGAGAAGGAAAGGAGGAAAGAGAAGGACAAGGGACAAGGACCAGGAGAAAGACAAGGAGAAGGACAAAAACAAAGACAAGGAAGACAAGGACAAGACAGAGACAAGGCAAGGCCAAGGAGACAAGGACAAGGAGACAAGGACAAGGAGACAAGGACAAGGAGACAAGGCAAAGGAGACAAGGACAGGAGACAAGGAAAGGACAACGACAAGGAGACAAGGACAGAGGAACAAGGAAAAGGAGACAAAGGACAAGAGGACAAGACAAGGAACAAGGAGATAAGAACAAGAGACCAAGGAGACAAGGAGAACAAGGAGACAATGAACAATGAGACAAGAGACAAGGACAAGGAACAAAGACTATGAAACAGGACAATGACAAGAGACAAGCTAGGTGACAAGGACAAGGAGAAAAGGAACGCGATCGGACAAGGCCAGGGCAAGTACACAAGGAGACAAGGACACAAGGACACAAGGAAACAAGGACACAAGGACACAAGGACACAAGGACACAGACACAAGGGACGACAAGGACACAAGGACACAGACCCAAGGACACAAGGACACAATGATACAATGACACAAGGAACACGGAGACAAGGAACAAGGACACAAGAGACAATGACACAAGAGACAAAGAACAAGGCAGCAAGGAGACAAGAGACAAAGAGACAAAGGAACACAAGACACAATGACACAAGGACCACCAGACACAAGACACAAGGCCACAAGGAGACAAGGACACAAGGAGACAAGAGACAATGAAACAAGGAGACAAGGAGAAGAAAAGAGAATCAAATGAGGTGTTCTTTGCCGACACATGAACACAAGTGCACACTCTCAGTAACACTTCTAACTAATACTATAGCTATACTCTATATAATCTAGTAACATGTCGCCTTTCATCCGTTACGAATACTTTTATGATACCGGATGTTTCCGGATATTCCGTGGGGCCGGATTAAAACGAAGTACGCGTACTATGTATTTAACTTACAAGAGCCGTCGGCTAGAGAATAACAACAATTATATGAGACTCCGTCACCGTCTCCGTCTCCGTCTCCTCTCCGTCCCGACTCCTCCTCCGTCACCCGTCTCCGTCTCCCGTCCTCCGTCTCTCCGTCTCCGTCTCCGTCTCCGTCTCCGTCTTCCGTCTCCGTCTCCGTCTCCGCTACTTTACCTTTTTTGAATTCGATTGTTTTAGGGCTAGGCTCGGGTAGGTTATTATTTATGGTTGTTAGGTTGGGATTAGGGTTTTATGTAAAACCGTTTTGTCTACGGCTGCAAAACTATAAAAACCTGTATCACGTCGTGACCTCCCATGCGTTAGCCGTGGGGACCCCCAGGCTATTATGTTCATAAAAGAATCAAGTATCGGTGGAAATGACAGGCTGAGCGCCGCCCAATAACCCCCATCGCCGTTTCACTATATTTCACTATACCCCTGTAGATTTCTACGATACATGGGAGCCGCGCACTTGTGCGCGGCGGGTCATACAACGTATGACAATAAAAACCAAAGTCACAAACATTTTTGGGCGAGCAAATCAGCGAATTAGAAAAAGCCATCGGCAAGGCCCAATAATGCATTTGCTGCGTCTACGTGGTTGCGAGAAGAATACCTATTTGAGGCGTCGCGCAGTCCAGATTCAGTCTAGTATTGTGCATCGTCCTCTACAAGTAATTGTTCTAACTTTTTGTAAATCCCATAGTGGTGTTTGGGGCAATTAGAAAAATGACGTGCGTGTTTTCCCCGCGGCAAAATTTTTGTATGAAATTCTTGTTAAATTCTGCACGCCTAATATAAAACAATTTTTAACGTGCGGCTTACCTGGTGACCCTCAGCTATTATGGTTCATAATAGAGATTCGTCGGAATGACAAGCTAAGGCTCGCCCAGTAACGTGCGTCAAATACCACTCTGGGTACAAAAAGTAGAAAATTGCTTTAGCGCGATGCACAACTGGCTGCGCCGCGCAACAAATAATTTATAATCCTTCTCGCAAAAACCACGGAGATTGCTGCAAAATGCAGAGCTGGCTTTTACTAATAAATAGAGGTCCAACCATAATAAAATAAACTTTCTCGATTTAAAAATATTGCACCATAGTTTTCTAGAGACTGTGAGAAATTTTCACAATACCAAATTTTAGACCTTCTTGAAAAGATCAGTGAGTTCAGCTAAGTGCCATGAATCTGATGGTGCTGCGCTTTTGGAGCAAAATTAGCTTTAAAGCGCCGTATTTGACCCAATTTGCCCAAATTTGACCAAATTCCGTGATTTTCGTCCCCCCACCCCCCCCCCCCCCCGTATTAATTGATATATCTTCTTCATTCCCTTGAATGAGATCATCTGAAAATTGGCGACGGCCCTCCAATAAGGCTTTCACAACTGTCCGAAAAATTTGGTGGATATCGGAGTTGATATAGTGAATCAAAATGGTGCAAAATACGCTGCTTTTAGACTGTTACATAATGTTAGATGGCTATATGCTTTATAACATTTCGGACCACCTTTCCCTTGTAAGTCTATGAGTAAGCTTACCAATTTTTGTTGCATCGAAGGTCGGGAAGGAACTTAATATCTTTTTGTTGAAAAAATTGTGCTAGGGCCGAAATTAGCGCTAAAAAACCATCCTACAGTCGGCAACTCTCGGCTCACTGTCCGAATGCGCACTACCTTTAATAAATTCCTCGCCCAAAAATTTCATGTACTTTGGGTTTATTGACCTACGTTTGTAAACCGACGCGCCGCGCATACATTGCGGCAGCTCCCCCTAGTATTCTGTATTCAAAACGCTACAGTTATAAATGAAACAACGAAGGGGGGTACAAGGGATATTTTAATCGTTTTTGCAAGCCGTAAAAAAAACGGTTGTACAATAAACCCTAATCACAGGAGGAGCACAATGCGTGGGCGCGATTGCAGCAGTTAGGTGCCCGTTTGTAGCAGTCATGCCCGTTTGTAGCAGTTAGTGCCAGTTTTGTGGCAGTTATTGGCCAATTGTAGCAGTTAGTAGCAGTTTGTAGCAGTTTGTGGGCATTTCTTTTGCACTTTGCTCCTCCTGCGTATCCCAAACCTAAACGCCATAATATATATACCCCCGAAAGCAAATCAGATACCCCTCCCACAACCTAACCCGAGCCCCGAGCCCCTAGCCCAAACAATCGAATTCAAAAAGGAAAGGAACGTAGACGGAGACGAGAGGATACGGAGACGTGAGACGATGACAGCGGAGACGAGACTGGTATACGGAGACGAGACGAGACGGAGACGGAGACGGGAGACGAGACGGAGACGGAGACTTACCTGGGACCTCCGGCTATCGCGTAATTTTTTGTTGTTCATGTGTCCCTCTGTTCCAAATTACGTAAAGATTTAAGCGCTCATAACGTTATAAATCGCTTATAACCCCGCTTTAGATAAACGCTTGTATACCCCAAATACAGCAAATCAAAACATATTTTGATCATAGTTTTTAAAATGCGTCAAAAAGCGCTTTTCATCTTTATAATCCCTTATAAACGACAATTGGAAACAATAAACTTTTCGATACTTTATAATCACTTTAATCGCTTATAATATCTCGTAACTGAAATTTTTTTCTCGTTTCAAATACGTAAAAAGAGCGCTTAATAATCGTTTATAATCGCTTATAGATAAAAAAATAAATAAGCCTTATAAACCGCTTTCAAAGAATATTTCAAGAAAAGCGTTATAACGCTGATCATAGTGAAAATATCGCTTTTATGCAGATTTTCAAAAAATCGCTTTGTCGCTTATACTCAGTCTTTATATCGATTTAAACCGCTTATTAACTTAAAATAAAAAAGCGTTTTTTTTACGATTAGTAGCGCTTGTTATTTTGGGGAACTTTCCCTGTGAATATAATGCGCTTATATTCGATAAATAAGCGTTTTAAATACGTCCAAAAAACGGTTTATAAGCGTATTTTTGAAAAGCTCTTACGGAGCGATCAATAATCGACAACCCAAAATAAAATCGGTTTTTTTATCACTAATAATTTTATTTACGCGCGATTTTTAATTATCGCTATTTAAAGCGCTAATAATCGCGTTTGCAAAACTATGTATCGGAAAAAGCGTATTATCATCGTTTAACCGTTTCTTAACGACCGTTTATAATCGCTTAATAATCGCCCAATAACGTGGTTTTATTAAAAAAAAAAATCAATAAACCCACAGCGCTTTTATCGTAAAGAAAAGCGGTTATTACGGCTGACATCACAAAAAAATAGTTATGGAAACTTGCCGGTTAAGATCTCGTTATTACACAACAATTCCAACTAGTTTGATTGATTCAAAGGGAAACCACTTCCTCAAACGCCCATGGTTGGCTAAGAATAATATATAAATATGATATATATAATAATAAATCTTAATAAATAAAACTGGTTGGCAACGTAACTCACTTTCTAAGCTAGCTTGATATTTCAGATCATAAACATCATATCTGCCAATTTTATAGAAATAAACATAAGAAACATTATACCTATAATGCACAATAATATAAAAACATTTAAAAAAGTGCTATATAAAATAAAAAGGTATAAATACCTTAACTTAACCTTATTCAATTAATTAATAAATAAAAAGATAAAAACTGTAAGCTATCTTAGCTTCTTTTTAAAGCTTTAAACGCACTAAGTTGACTGGCAAAGTGCCAGCATTGCCTAATAATTTACCCACTTCTAATAGCGTAGGTACTCGCACTACTTAGCAGTCGGGGGCTAAGATTAGATTACTTTATTAGAACTTTAAATAAGTCCTTGTCCAAGCACAGTGGCGTAACGTTTGCCTGTTGGCGCCCCCACCAAAAAAGGCGCCCTCCTGTTGGCAGCCCCCTCCCCTTGTCGTGCCCCTCCCTAAAGATATAAAAAATAGATGATTTTAAAGGATACGCCGGTAATAAGCTCTTAAAAAAATGTGTTTCTAGAGCAAAACGCGCAGTTTTGCTAGTACCGTAAGATAAGTCTATATTCGAAATTGTCCCACATTAAAACGACAATTTAGCGCCCCCTAAGATTGCACATTAATTTCTGCACATAACCAACCTGTTGTATTGTGTCTTGTGGTGAACAACTCGTTCCATCACAGGTTACTTATCTAACTAAATAGTACAGTAAGAACAGTAAGTAAGTAACATAAATATTACAGTGTGAGAGAGAGAGAGATTAACAGATACAAATAAGTAGTAACAAGTGGTGCTGATAGCCAGTTGTGAACAATGTGTAAATAGCTGTGTGTGAACATGTTGATAGCTGTGTGTAACATGTGTAATAGCTGTTGTGAACAAGTGTGATAGCTGTGTGTGAACATGATATTGGTGTAATAGATGTGTGGAAA